ATGGGGCATACTGAGGCCAGCTGCTGCTTGTTTGAGAGATTTTAGGAAAGTCCTAAGCATGAGGCTAGAGAGGCCATTTGCATAGAAAAGTCACTGGAAGTGTCTTAGATGAGCTTGCAAGTAGGGAGGGGTCAGGTCTCAGGGAATCACCAGGGCAGGGCCAAAGGTGTTAGGTTGATGGAAATTCATAGAAGGTGCCTGTCTGCCAGATCTGAGGGGTAAGGGCTCATCCAAGGAGCAATGGCCTCTTTCAGCCTACTGTCAGCAAGAAAGCTGCCCATCCAGCTCTTATCCTGATTCCAGGCAAGTTAGTTCCTTCCCAAATGTCCCAGGTTCCTTTCAAGCTGCTCCACAGCGCTGGAGCTCAGAGGGAGCACGTTTAAGTGAGTCCATGCTCCTTCCCTTTAAGAGGAGCTGCCTGAGACTCCCGCAGCCTCCACATCCCTCAGCTTCAATCCCTGCTGGTTTTTACAGCCCGAAGTTGTAGGGACGTCTCTTCCCAGCCCTGGAACCCTGGGCTAGGGGGCCTGTTGTGGGGCTGGGACCCCTCACTCCTCCAGGAAACTGCTACAGAGATAACTCTCCTTGTTTTAAACCTCAGCACCTGAGTGTGGGACCACAGCATCATCTTCGTGATTCTACCCGATTCCACCCCGCATCTCCACCTCTCCTACCAGTCTCAATGCTTCTTCTTTAATTCCCTAGTTGTAGGACTTCTGTTCAGCCAGATATCAGGAGCTTCTGAATGATTGTTGTTCTGTATTTTAGTTGTAATTTTGATGTTGTTGTGGGAGGTGGAGGGTATCCCAGTTTTCTACTCCACCATCTTGTCTCTCCAGCAACACAAACTTTATTCATTCTTACCCTTATTCCCAACCAAGCCTAAGGTTCACTTTCCTCTTTGGGTTAAGATGTTTCAAGCTCTTAGCGTGCAGAACTTCATAAGTACCCTTCAGTCACTCATCTTGTAAATGGATTCTAAACACTTGGCTTCAAATATTATTTTTGGTAACCTCCTCTCTTACCTTTCTTAAGATGCATCTGCAATCCCCTCTCAACACCACTCATTCGGATATTAAAAAAGACTCACATCCTTAAGTAGCTTTTCCTTTTACGCTTCTCTTATGGAGCATCTGCTTTCATAAATCTGACCTTTTACCTTTTCAATTTGTATCATTTCCACAGTCACATATCTTTCCCCACTCTTTAGGTCCCATAGACCTTACAAACAGCTAAACTACATTCAACATCTGTGTGTGTCTTGTTCTCCTCCTGTTGACTTCTGTGAAGGGCTCTTCACAAATAATACATTTCCCTGTCTGGATTCAGTTTATTCATGGCATCTTAACTGAATCAAATGTTGCTTCTTCCCAAGCCTACAACAAGCCTTTGGATTCTTTGATTTGGTATAAATATTACCTGCCACTGAGTGAGTCCTCACATCATTTTATTTAATTTCCCCAACAGCCCTGCATGGTAGATATTGATAACTTTTTTTTACATATGAGATGTTTTCAGTATGCAAAGAGTCATTCAGAGGAAAAAAGATGGGTAGAGTCTGAAACCAAAGTGCAGAATTGGAAGTAGTGGGTTAAAGAGGGTGAAGAGATTGCTCAAGCTGATTCTGCTGGTAATGTCAGAGTTGGCATCTGATGCAGCTCCATCAGAACCAGCCTTGAATGGGGACTTTCTGGAAGATGAGTCAGTTTCAGAACTCTGATTTGATAATGGGTACAAAGAATCTGGAATCTACTATTGCTGAAATTCCTGAAGTCAAAGAGAAATGAAAATATTTGTGGATTGGTTTGATTTCCCCTGAAATGTGGGGGTTAGACCAGCTCCAACATATCTGCATATGTTGGTACATTTTAAAAAAATCTGGTTACAGTTTTACCTTTTCAAATTGCAAAAATGTCACCTCTGACTACCTGTCATTGATAGTAAGTAGCATTCATTTAGAAGCACATCTTTTCCTTCAACACTATTTGCTTTCTGCACCTTCTATGGAAAGAAAGTAAAAGTAACACAAATAATAACCCTGCAATTACTACAGAAAAAAAAAAAATGCTAGCTATGCTTAAATGAAACTGGATATTTTCCACTTGTTATTATTATAGGATATATGTGTAGAATATAAAAATAAAAATTCGCACTCAGCCAACTTTTTTCACTCAATGTCTCAAATCCCTGAGTGTAAGTAGTTTCATTACGTTTACCAAACCAATTTAACTCAAACATGCTCTTGAAGCCTCTCTTCAAATCCACTGAGGTTTTCCTGTCACAAATGCTGAACATTATCATCTGAAACTCTGAGCATTCTGCAGATGTGTTTGACCTTCTGCACATAAAACAAAATTATTGAGTTATGTGTTAAAATAGACAAAACTCCTAAATAAAAAAGAAGAGCATTACCATTATATATACTTCTAAATCTACACACACATCCACAAACACTCACATATACATAATAACTGAGTTTATGTATAATTGGATTAATATAAGAACAGTTAGAAGGGTAAGAAGAAATGTTTTATCTAGACATATAGAAACAAAATCCATTGATCTCTAAAATTCCATTCATCGCCAGGCCGGGAGTGGCTCAGTGGTTGAGGGTCGACCTAGGATCCAGGCGATTGGGGTTCGATTCCCTGTCAGGGCACATGCCTGGGTTGTGGGCTTGATCAATGACTCTCTCATCATTGATGTTTCTATCTCTCTCTCCCTCTCCTTTCCTCTCTCTGAAATCAATAAAGATATATTTTAAAAAAATTTTTTTCAATAAATAAAATTCCATTCATTTTTTCAGCAAATGTTACTCAAATATTTATTAAAAGTCCATAACATTCTATGGACTATAGAGGATACAAAGATAAAATACTTATAGCAAACAAACAAATGCCCAACTAATTCCACTGCAGGGTGAAGTATGCTAAGCTCCATGAAGATAGGGACAGTGCATGTATTGTTTAACTCTGTCTCCAGTGTCTAACATTGTGACTGGCACAATAGATGCCAAAGTGTGTTTGATGAATGGATAATGAAAGAACAATGCCCTTAAGTAACCTAGAAGTTCAAAGGAAGAAGATATTACCTCTATCTGGCATGACCCAGAAAGACTTTCTAGAAGATAAAGTATTTGATCTGAGTCTCCAGGAACAGGGTGTTGGCTTTAAAGGAGAGAAGAACATACCAGGCAGAAGCCAATACATGAACACAAAGCCAGAGAGGCAGGAAAGTGCAACACTGTCATTAGGAATAGCAAATAACTCAGTTTGGCAGTCTAGCATAGGAAATCTATAAACAAGAAGTAAAACCCTGGCTGGTGTGGCTCAGTTGGTTGGGCATTGTCTCATGCACCAAAAGGTTCCCCTTTTGATTCCCAGTCAGGGCTCATGCGAGGGTTGTGGGCTCAATCCCCAGGAGGGGTTGTACAAGAGGCAGCCCATTGATGTTCCCTCTCACATGGTTGTTTCTCTCTCTCCCTTTCTAAAAATTAAAAAGAACAACTTTAAAAAAAGAAATAAAGCTAAAAAGTTAGATTGAGGCCAGATTGCTGAAATCTAGAAATGCTCAGTTAAGAAGTCCAGGTTTTAGTCTCAAAGTAAGCTCAGAGTATTTGTGTTTAGACTCTTATACACCAGCTTTGTCACCTGCCAAGCAGTCATTATTCGTGACCCTGATTCTGAGGCTGTCAGGAAGAGTCTTCAGAAGTAGTTCCTAATTATATCACCAGCTGCTCTCTATGAAACTACTGCAAGAAGCTGCAAAGTCCAGCAGCCCCAGAACAGACTCAGGAAGTGGGAGAGCTATTTCTGAAAATAATTAATGTTGGAAGGTTTCATCAGTTCCAAGACTGCTACTAGATACCTGGAATATTTCATGTGGCAATTTGAACACAGATCACTTTAGAGCTAGTCTGCAAAGACCTAACTTAATACACAAATCTTAGAAGATGAGAAGGACTCCAAGAGAAAATAACCTCTTCAGAAATCTTTAATGCACCATGAAATACAGCCTTTGTCTAATGAGATACTGATTCTTAAAGCAAAATGGTAGAGTAGGGATCTTAGATACACAAAATTGTTCCATTTATTAACTGCAAACACAAACAACTATGAACTGTAGAGGAATAAAGGTACAATACATGCCTTAAGTAACTGACAGTGGCTAAAAAAATTAGCCACTCAAGGTCCAAAATAGTTTTTATTTTAGTTTCTCAATTACCTCATGAGCTTAATATTACCATTTTAAAATTTAGAATATTAAGATTAATGGTTTCCAAAATTTTCTCAAGCTACACAAATAACACAGCTTGAATATGAACCCAAATTTGTCTAATTGCAGAGTTCATACTCTTTCTTGCACCACTATGACCTTAGGGCCTATCTTAGTAAATGGGAAACATCACAATGCGTTCACCAAAAGCAGGATCTCTAGTATAGGCGTGTAGGTTCTAGATCTTGGCTTTACTTCATGTAAGCTCTGTGAACTTGTACCCGTTATTAACTTTTTTGTGCCTCATGTCTTCTTAATTGTAGAACAGGGGGGATTAACATTAGACTAACACTCCGTACCTCACAGGGTTGGTGTGAGATTTAAATGAAATCATAGATGTAAAGTACTTAGGAGAGTGGCAGCCCAAAGGGAATGCTCATTTAAATTAGCTATTACTTACTAGTGAAACATCGTGACAACAGCAAAAATTTAGACAGTTCAGTGCACATTTTTTAATCTGAATCAACATCCCAAGCCTTCCATCAATTAAAAACATCTTGGAAAATATCATGCAGTAGTTTCTTTGAACACAAAGGCATCTACGCAACAGTAACGTGATAACAAACGTCACAAGAGCTGCACTGCTATTTGGAAAGGCAACTCGCGTTCTGGTAACTTTCCTGACACTGATACATCTGACTGATTAGCAGTTTTGTTATCTCTTTCTTTCCTGCCAGTACAAACATCCAGATAAGACGACACACTTCCGTCGTTTACAGACTTACCCACGAATGTGGGAGATCCATATCTGCACAAGAGGACTTGAGACGTGGGTGGCGATTACAGCGAAAAGAGTTGTTCCAGGGTCCAACTTGGGCCATTTCCAAATCAACGCATGTCCAGAGCCTATTTTCTGGAAAAGGCGTCCAACTGTTGTACATCTGAGCTTCACCTCCATTGTGAGATGACATTTGCACCAAGTTGCATCCAGTTGAAGTGTTGGATCTAACCAGTGATGAAGAAAGAGAATCCAATCTAATCTCCATGTCCTCCTTCCTTGTGCCAATACTATTAACTTTCTTTTCTTGAGACTTGACTAATTTCATACAGGAAATCAATGTTGTATCTTCATCTTCTGAGTGATAAAGAAGAAAGTTTAAAAAGTAAATCTGTAATAATTTTGTACATGTAGGAACTGTGAATATTATCCTTCCTCTTATAGAATAAAAATGAATGGCCAGCGGATAAACTGGAAACTCATTTAATTTAACAAAATAATTTACAATAGCATTTCTTTAAAGAGTAAATTTTTTGTATATTACATTATTTTTTTGCAGTAAAATCAGATTTATTTACCTAAAAAAATTTTAAACCTTATTTAATGATTAAAGTTATTTTCATTGGAATGACTGAAAGTTGCATGAAAATGGTATACTGATGATATTTGAGAAACATTGCAATTTCTAAAATTCCCCACATCTTCTCAGCATAATATGGTGTGCGTCTATCCTTGAATATATTTAATTTTTGGAGGTCATATGTGTAAGAGAGCAACATAAAAAGCAAATGAAATCTTTGGCTTATTTAAAAGAATGAAATCTCAGTGGATATGGGCTGCAATCCTATTGGTATTCTGTAATTTTCTATTTTAATATCAATCTGCAAAGAGATTTATGCATGCAGATTGAAATATTTTGGAAAAGTAAGAACAAGACTGAGAAAACAAAAAAGAAAAGGGTATGTCTTTAATACTATAAAGTTGATTAGTGAGACCTACATATGGTGAGAGGTCTGATGAAAATTCTAATAATATGTAAAACAGTTACAGAAAATAGAAATAGATATCACCCATAGTAAATCGCACTATGCTGTGGACACTTTTTATGTTCAAATGTTCAACTGGTGTAAAAAAAGATCATGATTGATAGGGCATTATTAACAAATGAAAATCAAAATTGCATGTTATGACATTTCAATTTGTGGCGCTCACATCAAAACTGAAAAATACTGTTTTCTATGGCCAAAGAATGAGCACAGTGGTCACTGCTGACCCTTACTGCCTTGCTGACTGGTCATCGCCCACGGCTTCCTCTCACTCTATCCCTGCGCCTGGTCCTGAAGGGAAGGAGAAATGGGGCGGGGCAGAGGTATAAGGTAAAATTCAGGAATAGGGTGAGGCTGTCTTTCACGTATAACTTGGTAATTAAAAATAAACTCAGCGTTTAATGATTAAGGCTGTATAGAAATGGCATTCATTAATATATGCTACTCCAATTCTTCCACAAAGATTGTTAGCAGCTCACTGAATTCTTACTTACGGAGATTTATTAATGGAGGTTTCATCTCATCTAGACTCGGGACCCTGGCTTTTTTGGTCCAAACCAGTTTTTGGAGTCTCTTTAAGGTCCCCATTGATTCCACTGGATCACTGCTTGATTTCACGGCCTAGTACAAACACAGCTAAAGGTAAAGGCAAATTCTTCTTTACAAAAGATTAAATATAAAATGTGTAGAGATCATAAATATGAAAATTTAATAATATGTCTCCTTAAAACCTGTACCCTCACACAATTTAAACAATAACTTGAAAGCATACCACATTTTTTGGATTAAAACTTGTAAAATATATTATAACTGGCTAGGCATACTAAAGCAGGGTATTTTTTACCTTTTTTTTTTTTAATACTTCAAAATGCAGCAAAATGGGTTGAATCCAGAGCCATCTATAAATGATTTGCTCCTGCTCAATGTGAAATCATAAAAAACAACAAGGTCTTTTGTTTTCAAATATATGTTTTTAAGTAGCACCTTGCTCTCTAGAAAATAAACAGTGAGCAAAGCAGCTTACTACGTTTTAGTATATAACTGTCACTGGTTTGTTATGGCAAAATATTAATAAAAGAATTAGCATTGCATTAATGACTAAAAGTTTTATTGGAAGATTTAGAAACAGTTCTCACTAGTTTAATGTTGGCAAATTTGTATTTATACTGCTTTTAGTTATTTTTTAAAGATATCTTACTCTTAAAGATTTCAAAATATTTTGGAAATTGATACTTTATGTGCCAAGTTTTATACTAATTGGTAAAAATAGTTGTATTCTGTTGTATTAACTCTATGAGAAGTAATACATAAAGGAATACTTCTTTTTCATCCAGAAAACTCTGGACTCAGAAGTATTTCTTCCCCTGCTTCTATCTCATTCTTTCTGCTAAACCTCTGATAAATGCCATATAAATGAATATGGCAATTTTCAAAAGGCAAATGATATGTTTCCACATTAATGTTTGAATGAAATGTATTTATAAGAGTGTGTTCCAATCCTTTGAGACAGACTATATGCCCAAAATAATGTTTGGAAGAAAAGGATCTCTGGTATGCAAACATTTCCAATCATCATTTTCAGCTCTTATTCTTGATCTTTAAGAAAGACTTTGAGGGAGATCCAGGATGGTGGTGGGATAGGTGGGTGTCACACTCACCTCTTCCTAGGACCAAACTACATTTACCACTAAGATATAGAGTAATCAACCTGAATAACTAACTGAAGAGCTGAATAGAAATATTATAACCAAGCATTTACAGAAGAAGCCACACCCAAGACTAGTAGAAAGGGTAGAGATTTGAAAATGTCTGGCCCTGCTCCCACAAGCGTGGGATGAGATTCTGGAGGGATATCTGTACTGCAAAGGTTCCCCCTTAAGAGGGAGGAGTCTCAACCCTACGCCAGGCTCCCCAACCCAAAGCACCTCAGCTGGAAAGACATGTCCACATAACATCTGGCTATGAAAATAGGCAGGGATTCTATATTCCAGGCAGAGAAGAGTCTGCTAGAGACACAGGTACCCTCCTAAAGGACCAAGGCAAAAAGATTTCATTCACAGCCACTCACCTGGGCTCTGGAGGAAGAAGGGAAGAGCAGACTGGAATGTGTGAGGAGAGACTGGGGTTTGTGTCTCTGGGGAGAGAGCTGAGGAGGCAGCCACTGAGACTTCTGTGCTAAGTCCCTCTCCCACACAGCAGACACCATCTTTCTTGGATGGAACACTTTCCTCTTTATGGCATCAGCCTGGGTAAATGCAATAACCCCATTCCCTGGGCTCTGGCTCCAATTAAAAGACAAGGGGTAGCTGAATGGTTAAGCAAACAAGACCTACATATATGCTGTCTACAAGAGACCCACCTTAGGACAAAAATACCTGGACTAAAAGTGAAGGGATGAAAAAAGATATTTCATGCAAAGGGAAATGAAAAAAAAAAGAACTGGGCTAGCAAAACTTATGTCTGATAAAATAGACTTTAAAAGAAAGACTATAGTGAGAGACAAGAAGAACACTACATAATGATAAAGGGAGCAATCCAACAAGAGACTATAACCCTTGCAAACATTTCCACACCCAACATAGGAGCAACTAAATATATAAAGTAAATCTTGGTGGACATAAAGGAAGAGATTGAAAGTAATACAGTAATAGGAGGGGATTTTAAATTCCCATTAACATCAATGGGTAGATCTTCCAGACAAAAAATCAACAAGGAAACAGCAGCCTACAATGACACAGAAAATCAGATGAATTTAATTGATATCTTCGGGGAATTTCATTCCAAAACAAAAGAATGTACATGCTTTTCAAGTGCCTATAAAACATTTTCTATGATAAACCACGTTAGAACACAAAACAAGTCTCAGTAAATTTAAGAAGATTGAAATTATATCAAGCATCTTCTCTGACTATAATGGTATGAAACTAGAAATCAATCACAAGAAAAGAACTGAAAAACACACAAAGACTTGAAAGCTAAGTAACATGTTGCTATACAATGAGTGGATTAACAATGAGATCAAGGAAGATACCTTGAAGAAAAAAAAAATGAGAACACAAGAAGCCAAATCTATGTGGTACAGCAATAACAGTCTTCAGAGGGAAACTGATAGTATTACAGGGATACCTCAAGGAACAAGAGAAATCTCTAATGAACAGTCTAAATTCACATTTAAATGAACTAGTCAAAGAACAACAAGCAAAGCCCAAAGTGAGTAGAAAAAAGGAAATAATAAAGATCAGAGCTGAAATAAACAAAATAGAGTCTAAAAAACAATACAAAGATCAATATAACCAAGAGCTGGTTCTTTGAAAAGTTAAACAAAATTGACAAACCTTTAAATAGACTCAGCAAGAAAAAAAGAGAAAGGACCCACATAAGTAAAATCGGAAAAGAAAGAAGAGAAGGAACAACTGGCACCAAAGAAATACAAAAGACTGTAATAAAATATTATGAACTATATGCCAACAAATTAGAAAATCTGGAAGACATGGATAAATTCCTGGAAACATACAATCTTCCAAAACTAAATCAGAAAGAATCAGAAAAATCTGAATAGAGTGATTACAACTAATGAAATTGAAGCAGTAATAATAATAATAATAATAATAATAATAATAACTCCCCTCAAAACAAAACCCTGGGCCAGATGGGTTAACAGGTAAATTTCATCAAACATACAAATAAGAACTAGCACATACCCTTCTCAAACTATTCCAGAAAAATCAAGAGAAGATTCCCAAGCTCATTTTATGAGGCCAGCATTATCCTAATTCCAAAACCAAATAAAGACACTACAAAGAAAGAAAATTATAGGCCAAATCCCCGATGAACATAGATGTCAAAATCCTCAACAAAATATTCGCAAACTGGATTCAGCAATACATTAAAAAGGTCATATGCCATAATCATGTGGACTTTATTCCAGTGATGCAATGTTGGTACAATATCCGCAAACCAATAAATGTGATAAACCACAACAAAATGAAGGATAAAAATCACATGATTATATTGCCTGGCCAGTGTGGCTCATTGGTTGAGCATTGGCCCGTTCACCAAGAGGTCGCAGGTTCCATTCCTGGTCAGGGCACATGCTTGGGTTGTGGGTTCCATCCCCAAGAGGGGACATGCAGGAGGTAGCCAATAGATGTTGATGTTTCTGGCTTATAAATGTTTCTATCTCTCTCTAAATTTTCCTTCTCTCTAAAATCAATAAAAATAT